TCTTCATTTTTTGTAGTTATCTTATTCATGCACGTTATGTAGATTTGTATTACATATACATACAGGCTAAACATTCCTTGTAAATAGTTTGTAAAGTTTTTTTTTTTTTAATTATATTAATCAAATAAATAACGTTCATTATTATTATTGTCGTTGTTGTTGTTTTATTATTACTGCTAGATTGAAATCTGTATATTATATTATATTATATTATATTATATGTTTGGCTTTACTCTTATTTTCTTGTTATTTTATTATTCAGATATTTTGTATATTTGTCTGTACACAAATGCATTTAAGCAAAACATTAACTGTTTTTACTATATGAATAAAATAAATAGCGTTTATATTATTATTATCATATATTAATTTGAATATTGTATTATATTATTATGTTACATTATATGTTTGTTTTATTCTCGTTATCTTATCATTCTGATGTTATGTATATTTGTATATAAATATAAATGTAGGCCAAACATATTTCTTGTAAAGCACTTTGTAAACACTTTTTTTATTATATGAATAAAATAAATAGTTTAATTATATTTATTTATATTATTATTCGATTGTCATTTATATATTATATTATATTATATTGAATGAATGAATGAATGAATGAATCATTTATATAGCACTCTATTGTGTATTGCTGTACACCCAATGTGCTTTACAATCATATCATTGGATCTCTCCTCTATTATATTATATTATATTTAGGTTCTCTTTTAGGTTTCTTGTTAATTTTCTTATTATTCAGATATGTTATGTATATTTGTATGTACATATACATGTATAACATATATTTTATTTATTCATAGTAAGAAATGTATGCATATATTCATGTATATATTCCTTACTATGTGAAAAAATAAAATACATTATTATTATTATTATTATATTTTAGTGCATTAGAAGCGACTTATAAATAGCTTATATAGTAAACTTCATTACAGACTTATGAGCGAAATATTCACTAACAAAGTGTGTACAGAACAGGGGTCGCTGATGTGTTTGTATATGATTGTGTTGATGTGATTACTCACCACTAGAGGGCGACAAACTCACTTTAGTCACGGAGAGAACAACTGCTTGTCTTCACCTGCTGCTGGTGGAGTGTGATGCTGTTATTACTCAAACAGCCCACTAATGAATTAGTTCAAGTCAGGTGAGTTTGAAAGAATCCAGCACTACTGGATAATTATTTTTATGACAAGAAGCCAGATAACAGAATAATAATCTATGCTGTACCACACTGCAGTTCATCTCTTTGACCGTGTTATAGTTTGTGGTTACTGATAAGATTTTAGGTAATGATCAGCCAATGGTCAAGTGTCAATTTTGGACCTTCGGAAAACCCACCATCATAAAACGGTACACGTCAGTGATCTCTGTACACCAAATACTTGTCATTATGAGGTTAAAGGGCATATTTACATTTATAGAATCACAAACTACCTCAAATTAATTGCAAACCAGGTGCATTTAATTCCTTGCAAATTTGTAATTTATGCTTATTTATTTCATCGTGTCTGACCATATACAGTACATAATAGTTTTGACCTGTTTTGCTGCTGCATAGGCCTGCTGTACACTGGTGCTGCCTAAAATCAGTTCCAGAGCATATGTACAAGTGTGTATACATTTTTTTTTTTTTTTCTGTTAAAGGGATGTTGAAACAACACCGGTTTAGGACATAAACACATATTGAGAAACGACATACAGGCATCAACATCACAGAAATGAGCATCATAATAACATATTGAGTAACTTTGTCCTCAAGTGAAATCTTGTGACTCTGCAACATGCAATAACACATTGATATGCCCTCAACAGGTCATGCTTCACTGCAATAGACACAACAATTCCATTGCAAAACAAACGATCAAACTGTTCATTTAACCAAAATGCCCGTGAAATGTTTACTGATGGATTTACTGTTAGTGTACCGTTAGAGTAAATCCTAACATAGTTCCTATATGTAAAAAAATCCAAACATTGCAAACCTGATGGTCAATGTCTTTTTTTACTTAGAATATTGTAACTACATTCTCAACATTGCACCTCCTCTCTCCTCACATTCCTTGCATCACAGGAATAGTTCACCTAAAAATGGAACTTTGCTGAATATGTACTCCATCCAAAATGTAGATGAGTTTGTTTCTGCATCAGAACAGATTTGGAGAAATGTATCATTAGCTGTCAGTATAAGAGTCCAAACAGCTGATAAAAACATCACAATAATCCACACAACTTCAGTCCATCAGTTAGTGTCTTGTGATGTGACAAGATGGGTTTGTTTCTTGTAAACACGTAGCATAAAGGCATTTTAATTGTAAGCAGTCACTTTTGGCCAAAATACGAGTTCATAATCCATAATAATGCTTCCTCCAGTGAAAAAGTCCATCCCCTGTTGTCCTCTCACATCAAAATCCACCAGAATATCTGTTTAGAACTGTTTTCTCTTGTAAACGGTGCTTATTTCTCTCCTGATTCAGTATTCCTATTTCATCCAGAAGCAACGTTTAAAGTTAAAAATGTCGTGGATTTGTTTTCTTATAAACTCACAGCTTTTCACTTCACAAGACATTAACTGATGGACTGGAGTGGTGTGGATTACTTGTGATGTTTTTATCAGCTGTTTGGACTCTCATTCTGACGGCACCCATTCACTGCTGAGGATCCATTGGTGAGCAAGTGATGTAATGCTACATTTCTCCAGATCTGAAACAAACTCATCTACATCTGTCCTGAAGGTGAGTACATTTTCAGCAAGTTTTCATTTTTGGCCGAACTATTCCTTTAAACTCACAGATCTTCAGTTTAAATGAGAAGGAACGGCTAAGCCAGTTGACAGTATTCCTGAAATGTTTTTAACAACATGTCGCTCATTCTCACGTGCTTTGCAGCAGCAAGCTATCAATGCTCTGAGCGCGGCGGATACACTCTTTCACCGCACAGAATCTACTGGAGAGCAAGGAGAGGTCATTTGTTTATTTTCAGCACACTTGTCCAGACTCAGAGTCAGGGCTTACATGAAAGGCACTTTGTTTCGTGCAGCGGTGGACATAAAAGCTCCGACTAATAGGTTGGCTACGTGAGCCCAAAATAGATGCAACTTTTGATTGATCTGAAAAGATTGCAACTAAATAAACTTGTCATTTTCTTGCTGTCTGCATGGTGTCTTTAGAGTAAAGATTGCTCTTTTTTTTTTAGTCCGTATTGATACTTGATTATATATCCTTGACAATACATAATAATGGGTATTTTTTGTTTTAATAATTTTAAAATTTAGCAATGCAACTATACAGCATATTTAATTATAGGAAATGTTTCTTGAGCAGCAAATCATATTAGAATGATTTCTGAAGGATCATGTGACACTGAAGACTGGAGTAATGATGCTGCAAATTCTGCTTTGTCATCATAGGAATAAATTACATTTTAAAATATACTGAAATAGAAAAGTTATTTTAAATTGCAATATTTCACAATAGTATTTTTTCCCTATATTTTTGTTCAAATGAATGCAACCTTGGTGAGAATAAGAGACATGAAACATGAAAAAGTCTTACCGACCCCAAACCTTTGAATGGCAATGTAGCTAAAGAGATGTTTGTGTGAGAGTTTATAATCAAACACAATTATTTTCTGATTTCTGATACTAATGACAGATCAGTATATCAGCCAGGCCAATTAACTGGTGGATACTTGGCCATTTTGAGATTACTGCATTGTCGATAACCCCCGTGTCAGTTCCAAGATAATAATAAACATAAGTAAACAATATTTAAAAAAATATTATATATAATACATTTAGCATATAATTAATTTCATAATTTTTTGTAATTAATTTTTCATTATCAGTAATTTTATGTAAATCTCATTTGCTATCAATGAACTCTCTAGATTATTGTCATTCGCCATCAAAAACCCCATTTTAGATGAATATCAGTCTATATCATATAATATCCAGGTCTGCACCCCCAAAATATGTGCCTACATGCACAGAGAACTAGTTTCATAAGCACTACTAGAAAGTGTGTTCATAACTGAACTATAATCAACAGCACAGATAAAAGCCAGTACTTTCCTTCTCCGAGAGCTTTTATGGCAGGGATTTTTAGGGATTAGATTTGTACACTGTAAAAACAATTCCGTAAAATGTACGGTAAAAAACCGGCAGCTGTGGTTGCCGGAATTTTACTGTAAAAAATACGGTAGCAACGTTTTAGGTTTTATGGTTTTAACTTAAATTTACAGTTAAATACCGTCATTTCATTAACTGATATAATGTTAATATACCAACCTATTGAAGTACTGAAATCTGTTTTGTACCTTTGTAATAATACACTGATAACCACCAAATGCAGGTGGTGATGAGAAAGTCACATGATGAACCAAAGCCCATCACAAGCAGCTTTTAAATAATAACATATATATATATATAAAAGGTGCACAGTGTCATTCACACAAACACCAAACACCATCACGGTAACACACATGAAACTGAAATAATGCAATAAACATTCATTTAACAACATTAGATGTAACATACAACCCTAATATACAAACGTGATAAGAAAAAACTAAGAAGAAACAGTTGTTTCAACAAAAAAACATCAAATTGGAAATGTAATGCAGGGAATTCTGGGAATGTCAATTTACGGTTATTCACTGTAAATTATACGGTATTTTTCCACTTCCAAAAACGGTATACTACCGTAAAATTAATGTCCAATACATGTAATGTCCAATACAGTTTTTCACCGTATATAGTAGGGGAATTTACCGTTAACCATTTAACAGGTTTTTACTGTAGCATTTTTACAGTCTTTTACCGTTAAATTCACGGTCATTTTTTACAGTGTAACAATCTACACATTGTATTTTAAAATGGTCTGGGATATTTGAGAGCAGCCCCCTAAGTTGTTCACTGAAACAGAGACCTTCCTTTCATTGGTGCTACTTCACTGAAGAGTGAAAACCGCTCTTGGCACATGGCTGTTGAGTTTACAATGGTCTCCCCTCCAGCGATACGACCACACTTCCGCCCAACTTCTCTGCCAGGGTTGAGCGGTCCTGAATGTCATCTAAACCATTAACCTGCCATTCGTGTTTGATACCTGAAAAAGGACACGGTTGCATTCGATTTCAAAATAAGGACTTTTAATAAAAAAATGCTGTACTACTGGCATGTTTTGTTTCAGTGTGAACATGAAGTTATGTGTGCTTTCTTTGTTCCTGATCTTACTGGGATTGATTCTTTAATGTATAATATATATATATATATACATATATATGAATGTATGTTTGGTTATTTGGTGTCATAGCTGTTACAATATCATTCATTTCTTGGAAGAATGTATTGACCAATCATCACTCAGGACCCAGCATCCAGATACTATCTGTTTTTATAAAGATGCATTATGGGTGTTCTTAGCAAATATGACTGTACTCACCTGTAAACTTCTTCTTAATGGCATCTTTCGAGCTAGCATAAATCATCTTGCTTTTTAACGGCGCACCTTCAGGGGCCCTATAATCAAAAACACCTACGCTCAGTACACATGCTAACATCAAAGAAAGATGAATTGACATGTGTTAGAGGATAGCAGAATTGAAAAGCAACAAACAGCAAGGTTATTATTATTAACTGAAGCTTTTATATAGATGAAATTTCCTAAGTCTGACGTTAAACTATCAGTGTATTCTGGGGGGGGGTCATACTACTGTATGACAAGTTAGACAAGTGACATCTGGTTTGACAGGTAAAATAACTGATCGCAGTTCGCTTGCTGGATTTTCTGGTACTGATACAATGTTGTATGCTATAGGTAGATCTAACAAGGTCTAAGACAAAAAAACAAAACAAAAAAAATTGGAACTAAGACTTAAACAAAACAAAAAAGATACAAATTTAAAATCAAAATACTAAAAATGCATGAATAAATGCATAAAAAACTAAATGCTAAATTAAATTTAAAAATGCATAAATAAGTAAGTAAATAAATAAACAAAATATATTTTTTTTAAAGTATCTGTAATTATTAGGGTTGCAAATGGGCAGAAAATTTCCCCCAAATCCTGGAAATTTTCTGCCCCTTTGCAACCCTTATAATTATCTTGCCAGTCAGACTACGTACCAAAATATAAATACCAAGTCTTCTTTCTTGGACTCTTTAGTTTCATAAGTGGCATCGTATAAGCCGTATCTGCAGTCATTGAGAGGTAAGAGCTTCACGAAGCAGGCGTAGGGGTCATCGACAGTGTCTCCAATGTCTCCGACTAAGATATGCTTGCCCTCCTCTACGACGATCTTCTTCTTGTCGTCGCTGAGGCAGAATAGCACTGCCTTTTTGCGCTTTTTCACCTCGTCTGAGGACGAAGACTTCCGTACTTTCATGTCATTGAAGACTTTGATGACTTCATCACTGACTGTGACACCAGAGGCCTGCAATGAGCATGAGATTGAGATGAATGCAGACGTTTGAGATATTCTACAAGTCTGTGGATCCATACTTGGATGTCCAAACTCTCCAACAGCAGAGTAAATAGCATGATAATGCACATCCATAGTAAAAAATAACTACTGTATGAATCTACCAGGCAATATTAGAGGTAACAAGCCGTGAGATTTGGATCACCTCACTGGCATTGAGTGATCCAGTGCTGCTCACAAACCCTGACTCACGTACGTGCTGCATGCGCACAGCCAGCTGGTCTGTCACTACAAGTCAAATCTCTCACTCCTGGTCGAAAAAAAACGGGCTGCAAGGCCAAGTCATAGCATGGTGCCTGGGCCACGATACAACTATGAGAGCTCCTCCTGGGACTTTTTAAAGACATTTGGATTCATGATCAATGACACTTTCAAAACAAATGAGGCCCCTGGAAGGTTGAACTGAGCATTAATCCACTGAAACAAAACAGTGATTAACGTTAAATTCTATTTAATTCAATTCAAGTTTATTTGTATAGTGCTTTTCATGATGCAAATCGTTGCAAAGCAGCTTGACAGAAAATTAAAGTTTCTACGTTATATTTAGTAATAGCTTATCAGAGGTGACTATCTCAAGTTGATGTCCATATGGCAGAAATGTACGGTAAAAATCAAGCAGTTAGTTAATGTCATGTGATCAAACAGACGGTGAACACTATTAACAGCAATGCTTAAATCTCTACACTATTCATATGCCATTTTAAAATGTATTCCTCAAAATTTACTTCTTACCATGTATTTATATCTCCTATTCTTATACTGACTAGTACCTAGTTTTACTGGTGTAATTAGTCATATTACTTAGTTATGAGATATTATTAGAGGACTAAAATTAAATACTAGAGGATTAAATTTGAATATTAGTAACCAACGGTGATTACTATAGATTCAAATAAGAACTTAATTAGATACTAGTACTAGTTATTCCTTGGATATAATTAACTACTCCAACTGCACTGAAATAAATCAATAAATAATACATAACTTAGTATTTTTCTTGTTTAAATATTTAAAATTCTTAATTTAAGATCAATTTACTTGAGAAGCAAAATGACTTAAAATAGTTGTATTTAGATTATATATACTTGTTTCAAGCAAAAACTCAAAATAATTAAGAAATGATAATATACCAAACATAAATAATAAACAAAATAATATCACCCTAGTTCCTCCTTACTAGTACCTACTCCACTTTAACTACCAACTATTCAATGGATATAAGCAGCATCTGATTTTTCTTTACTTTCTAGAGTAATTTATTTTGTACTTCTTTATAATATCTAGGAAAATGGCTACTTGATAGTTGAATTTAAAAACAAATACTAGTAAGACTAAAAAGTCACTATCATCAATTGAAATACATTCTATAGTATTCAGAATATACTGTATAAAGAACAAAGAGACACTTATAATTAATTATAATTATTGTTCTTTTTACAAACAACTATTATAAATTACAATTATTATATATACTAGTAACAAAATGTAAAAAGTACTGGAACGTGCTAAGCATTTAGTAGTTAGTAAAAGTACTGAATATGTAATATTATTGAATAAGTATTTAGTGGATTGTCAATATATTCAATATTTAATAAAAAACTAGTGTCAACTATTGTAATAGTTACCAGTATCGAAAGTACTAGTAAGTGTGAAGTAGTTAACAGTAAGTTAGCAGGCAGTGGTGGCGCAGGCGCACAGACGCGCTCTGAGCAGCTGGTGTTGAGCTCCGACTCTCTCTCTCTCACACTACGACCACTAAATCCTACTGAATCATGAACAATTAGCCCAATTCACTCCTCAAGACACACAACAGACATCTGACAGCATGCAACGGCATAACAGTTCTGATTATACACGTATGAGTCCATCAATTCAGCCCCGATCATTTATTTATTTCTCCAGCGCCAGTGAGCAAAAGTTGGAGGCGCGCTCAGTGATTAAAGCACCGGCTAAAATAAGCTAAAAATGGCCGCCTCGAGCTTCAGGCCTGAGATGGAGATTCATATCAAATTAAAACAGGTTTCAGTAACCACAAAATAAACTTAGAGCCGAATAAAGCTTTATATTCTTCAACCGGAGCGCATACAATCAGGGACCTCGCCGCAAGCGCCGCATTACATTCCTGCCGGAGCTGAAAACGTGAGTTGCCGATCAAAAGTTTGACAGAAAGTGTTTCAAAATAACATTATAACCTCTATTATGAATTGAGAATGAACGATGTGTGACAGAAGACCTGTGCTTACCATGCTGTCCGACGCGCTGAATCAATAAACGATTATTTTCTTGGTACTTCTATCTGGGAATGTGAACAGCCGAGAGTGTGTGTGCGAGAGAGAGATCACTGCACAGCCGCAGTGAAGGGCTGCTCAAGCATATGCACTGTCATTGGGACACTTGGCAATGAAATTGACAAATATGTGCCACCAGAGAAACCATACATTTGAATTACAACTTTGCATAATATTGTTTAAAACAACAATCACTTAAATGTAATGAAAATATGACAATGTTTAAATTTTTAAGTTAGGAACATTACATAAGACATTTTAGACCAGATGATAATTAGGAAAAAACAAATATTCATCATAAATGACCATATTCATTAGTAGTTTCAGGCACATCAGCTGATGACCTGATATAAATTAATTAAATGTTATACAGTGTACATAATTTAAATGGACAAAGCCAGTTTTTTTTATTCTAGACAATCTTCATTTAAAGTGCACCTAACTCTGAAAACGTACAATTCATGCATACCTGAAAATCAGTAATGAAAACAAGTGGTCAAGCCAAATATTAACAATTTATTTTACATTCAGAAAAAAAACAAAAAAAAAAAAAAAAAAGTTTTACCA